ACTCAGCTCTTGAGTGGTTGCTATCTGACCTACACACACACACACACACACACACACACACACACACACACACAATAAATAAATGTTTAAAAAGAAAACATTAAGTGGGTGTCTGTTCAAATATCCACTTAAATAGCCACTTGCCAAAAAACTACTACTTATGCCTAAATACAAAAAAAGACTATGTCTAGGTCCAGCAAAATGGCTTTGCAGATAGAAGGTGCTTGCTGCCAAGGCCGACAATCTGAGTTTGATATCTGGGATCTATATAACGGAAGGAGAAAACTTACAAGTTGCCCTCTGATCTCAACTTACACACATACACACTAAATAAATAAATAAATGTAATACATTTTTTTCAAAAGACCACTGGCTACTCTCTGATATACACCAAAAGAAGTTACCAAAAAGAGAAGTGAAACCAAAACCAACCACAAAAAGCTACACACTAGATGTGCTCAGAGTGTGCATGGGGGGCGTACATGCATGACATTCCTTAAAATGTTAAAAGGGCAAGAACCATGAACCGTGCTCTACAGTGCCCAGCTCCACTCTAGGGCCTTGGAGAGACCCAGGCCAATCAAGAATGCTTCTCCACAGTATTTGTCAGGCCGGCCTTTGAAAGCTTCACTGAAAGATTCCAATTAGACACATTGTTTTCTTCAGTTTATAGATGAGAAACTCCAGTCTTGATAGATGTCTGGGTGGTGGTGGTGGTGTTTGTTTGGAGATAGGGTTGCCCTGGACAACCCAAGCTAGCCTTGAACTCATGAAGTTTCTGTCTTAGCCTTCCATATGAGCTAGACTGGTTGTAGGCACCAGTCTAGCTCAACCATAAGTTGACAGAGGACAGAGTTAAAATTCTACACTGGGGGTACGTCGAGATCATGATGGGTAGACGTGCAGAGATGACCGGCCATACTAGTGGAAGCCCATGAACTGTAGACTAGTGGCCGTGGAGCCCCCATGGGACTGGACTAGGCCCTCTGGATATGGAAGACGGCTGTTTGGCTCAAACTGTTTGGGGGACACCCAGGCAGGGGGATCGGGATCCATCCCTGGTGCATGGGCAGGCTTTTGGGAGCCCGGTGCCTGTGGTGTGACGCCCTGCACAGCCTTGGTGCAGTGGGAAGGGGCTTGGACCTGCCTAGGCTCAGTGTGCTGGGCTCTGCTGACTCCCCATGGGAGTCCTTGATTTGGGGGATGTGGGGATGCGGGGTGGCTTGGGAGAGAGGGCTGGAGGGTGGGAGGAGAGAGGAGGGGGGATGTGGGTGGTATGTTGAGTGAGTAGAAAATTTCTTAATAAAGAAAAATGAAAAGAAAAAAAATAAAATTCTACACTGTCCACCCTTTACACTCAATTTTATAAATCTCCCTTTGCCTGCCTTTTGCCAGGTACCAGACACAGTCAGACATTATCACAGCTAATCCTCATTTCCACCCTGCAGGGAAGTTTTATCCATTTCATTCTAGAGCAGTGACAGGCTGGCTTAGGAAAGGTAAGCCAGGCTGCTCTCGCCTGTCATCCGTCACACAAGTTTGCCTTGAAGAGAGGCAATTTCTTTGCCCAAGATGTCCTAGAAATTGAGCACATGTTTTAGAATCAAATGAAGACGCTTCCCCACAGGGCTACTTACTGGAGTGGGAAGGACATGAGTTTTTAAAAAGCCCTGAGGAAACTGGAATCCCATCTTATGACCACTTACCAAGCAGACCAATGAACATATTCACAATCCCCAGGACCCCCAAACCTACTGCATCGCCAGAGTCTGGTCAGACCATTCAGCTACCTCTGTAATCCCAGCACTAGGGAGGCTGAGTCAGGAGGATTTCAATGAGTTTCAGGCCAGCCTGACCTACAAAACAAATCCAACTCCACTCCAAACAAAAACAAAAAAAAACAACAAGAACAAAAAAAAAAGCCTTTGCTAGGTCCTGCTCATGATTCTTAGACCACCTCTCAGGATTGGGTGAAAAATAACAACTTCCTCTGTACTTGGTTCCTCCTCCAAAAAGCTGCTGAGCCTCATCTGGGAACAGCTGGGAGGCAGCAGTTAACAGGAAACCAAACAAAACAAAACAAAAAAAAGCACAGAGTGTACCAGAGAGCTAGGCAGTAGAACCAAGAGCCCACAGAACAGGCTGGAAGCTGGAGTTAGAAAGAACCTAGGCCAGAAACAGTCACACAGAAGACCCAGCTGGCCTTCCTCCCAGGCCAAGCAGAAGAAAACTGGACACGAAGTGGAGGCTCTGAGCCTATGCAAGGGCAAGCCAAAGCAGTTCTGAACGCTTTCCTTCCCCCACTGGGAGCTCACTTCTCTGAAAGCAGCTGGTGGCCATGACAGGTAAGCTGACTTCAGAAACCCAGCTTCCTCTAGTTTCTCAGTTAATATGTACCGAATGTCCACACTGCTGATTAAACTCAGCGAAGGCCACATCAGCCTCAGATTGACCCAGAGAACATCTTCATAGGAAGTTAACAGCAGATGCCCATCCAGGAACCTTCGGCGGTAAACCTAGGTACTATTGCTAGACATGAGGCTAGGATAGACATGCAGAGTGTGGTAACAGAAGCAAGTGAGCCTGGGAGGCTGGAGGGACCAAAGAGCAAGGTAAGCTTGTTACACCAAACTAGTAATACATTTTGCAATCAAGAAAATGAACTCAGTAATGGCCAGGTGCCAAAATATTTCTGAAAGAAAATGGGAGGTGGGATTACTGTTGGTGTTATTGAATAATCCTTTAGGTTATCCAGATAGAGCGCAAAGGGAGACTGGCTTATTTTCCCTTTGGCAGAGCTTACTAAGTGAGACCTTTCTAGCCCAAGCCTCCAATGGCTCAAACAGCTTTCTTTCCCTATACATGGAGAAGTTTATATTAAAGTGAAAAAAAAAAAAAAGAGGATTACTCTCTTAATAAAACACATTCCTGTCTCCTGCCTGGTTTTGTTTGAAAAGCCTTTCTCAAAGAGTAGCTTTAACGTTGTAATCGAACTGAGTCTGATTCCAGTATAGGCGCTCAACGTAAGAGACTGAAGGTGCCCAGGTCTTCCACTCCACTGTCGTCTGTTTGTTTAAAAAGAGACTATCTTCACAGGCTCAGTGCCAGCTCACACTGGCAAGGTCTAAGAACCAGAGCCAAGACTGACCAATGTGCCATGTGAGGGTGCTAGATGCAAGAGCTAAGCCACAGGAGTGAGGCATCAGGGAAACCTCCACAAGAGGAAACGGGGTGAGGGTGCATTTCAGAGACACAACAAAGGCACAAGTTGACTAATCATTTATTCCAGAGGGGAAAATGCCATCCAGAGCCAACTATCTACTATTTTAACTTCAGGCAATTGAGTAATGCTTTTAATTTGGATTTATCAGGGCTCATTATCTATCTCCCGGAGAGGGGAGGGAGGAGGGAGGAGAGGTGGGAGGGTTGCTTGAACCCACGAATCTAAGACCAGCCTCCCGAAGCATGCATGACCAGTCTCAAAAACCGAAACAATAAACACCATAAACGTGTGATATTTATGTATGAAAATGTGATACGAAACCTACCATCTTGCAGGCTGACTTTAAAAATTAATTCAAAAGCAAAACCAAAACGGGGCTGTAATCACAGCCCTTGGGAGGCCAAAGCAGGAGGGATCCTGCAAGGGTGAGGCCAGCCTAGGTTATAGAGTGAGTTCCTGGATACACAGGTCTCAAGATAACACAAAGAGGACCAGGAGTATTCCTACTCCTCCTTCCCCGGTCTCTAGAGTCGCCTGGGAAACTTCTCCCATGCTCCAGCTGGACAGCAAGAAGCCCCATCCGCAAGGATCCCAACAGAAGCTACACCACCACACTGGTCAGCTCCCACCACTAGCAGGGGTCCAGAGAAGGCCTGTGGCTGAGGGAGGAAGACTACCCGAACTGAATGCCTAACAGACGCACTGGCAAAGAGTGAGAGAGGGTGGAAAGAAAGGTTAACCCTCCCGGGAAACGCATGCCTGTGAATTTGAAAAAAGGGATCTCTATCCAAAGCCCAATCCCCGTTTCAGGACAGTGTCTGGGATGTCAGACTTACAAACAGACATCATTTTAGGGCCAACCAGAAAACCCTCGAGCTAGACCTGGGCATGGGAGGCATAGGTTTGTGATCCCAGAACTTGGGGAAGTGGAGGCAGGAAGGTCAGGAGGAGTTCAAGACCAGCCTGTGCTACAAAACCAAGTTTGAGAGGCGCCTGGGCTACGCGAGACCCTGGCTCAGAAAGAAAAAAAAAAAGAAAAAGAAAAACCTTCCAACTTGCCAGGGAAATGGACTGCACCTCCAGCAGTCTGAATTCTACAAGTCCTTCTAAAGTGCATCAAGGAGCCCTGCCTCAAAACTTCCCAGTACAAGATGGGAGAGAACCCAGGGACAATCAGGAAAAGTCACTAACATTTAAGGAGTGCCAAAGACACACTCCACCTATCTCAATCCACCCCTGGCACAGCCCTCTGGAGGTCGATACCACCCTCACCCCCCTCTTCATAAACGAGGAAATAGGCTCCGAGGCGTTACACAATCATTAGATAGTGGCAGCCAGCGCCCTAAACACCCTGGACAGGTGATCTTAGCCGTTGGGTGGTGCTGGAAACACACAAAGCAGTGGAGGGAAAGGGTCCACAGAGCCAGGTAAAACAACACGCCAACTGTAGCTGCACCTAATTCTTGTCCAAAACCGGACCCACGGGCACCAGGGGAGGGGAGGGCCTGGATGGGGAACCGAAGCCGGAAGAACCCAGACACTGCTGACGGGGTTACAGGCCAGAACCCCGGCGCCTCCCCCAACGGGGGGGGGACCCCAGACCCCCAGATCCTCCTAGAAAAAGCCCCCGAAGGGACAGCGTGAAGCTTAAACGGCCACGATGGTTTTGTCAAAGAGAAGCTGGAGTGAAGCTGGGGGGGCGCGGGGGACGGGGAAGGGGGGGGGGGAGGCTCGCCTAGGTCCGGGAGCGGGGAGGGGGCGTCACCGGGTCCCCTACCTGTAGGCCAGGGTCATGCACTCGAAGAGCTTGGTGAGCGAGGCATCAATGGACAGGTGGCAGGAGCTGGTCTTGCCGAAACTATAGGTCTGGCACGTCTGCTTGTTGACCGTGTCGAAATCGTAGCCCTTCTTGGGCGGGTGCTCGCGGTGCGGCGAGGACACCATGAAGTGGCCGCTGTGGATGATCTGCTGGCGGCGGGGAGGCTCCTCGCGGCCCGGCCCGGCCCGGGGCGGCAACAGTGCGGCGCTCGCGTGGGCCCGGGCTGCGGGGGCCACGCCGGAGGGGGGCGGCGGAGACGGCTCGTCTGTGTCCGAGTCGTCGTCGTCCTCCGGCACCCGAGGCTTGAGCAGCACCGAGCGGCCCCGACTGCGGGGCCGACGCGGAGAACACATGAAAACGTCGGCAGCCATGAAGAGAGCCTGGTCCGGGGCATCCCCCGGGAGCCGGGACGACGTGGAGCGAAGAGGCTGAGGGGACAGAGGAGGGACGGGGGGGGGGAGGAGGAGGTAGCCGGCCGCGGCCCGGCCCTCGCGCAGACTGCCCGGGAACGCGCCGCCCGAGGGGGAGGGTGCCGGCCTCCTCGTGATGTCACGGCCCGTCTCAGCCAATCAGATGCCGGCGTCTACCTCTTAAAGGCGCAGGGGAACCTTTCCTTATCTAGGCGGACAAAAAAAAAAAAAGCCGGAGGCCACGCCTCCCTGGCCGGCCCCGCCCCTGGCTGTCCTCTTTCCCCTCCGGGCAGGCTCCGGAGCGGAGGGACGAGAAAGCCAGGCCGCCGCGCCCCTCCCAGTGTCTGGGCGCAGGGAGGTATTGGCTCGCTCTTCGGTAGGTCTGGCTCCAGCCCCTGCCCCGCCTCCGCCACGCCCGGAGCTCGGGATCGCCCCCGAGGCCTCCCTGCTGGCACTCCACGTGGTGGGTAGGGGTGGGGCTCCGTCGTCCTCCCCCCCCTCCCTCTCTGGCCTGCTTTCTCCCTCCGTACCCGGAACTGAGTCCTCCAAAGCCTTCCTGATTTTGTAGGGCGTTAAGACTCCCGTTCCCATTTTGTTGATGCGAAGGTTGAGTCGCCTGAAACTCTTAAGGGACGTGCCTAAGGTTCCGACAAGACCGACCGGGAGGAGCATGGCTCACGGAGTCCTCCCTCCATCCTTAGGGGCGGAAACTGGCTCTCCCAGGTTAAGGCAGGTCCCCTGGGCATCGCCATAGAGCCCTGCGGTGGACCAGCAGTCTGCCTCCAGTCCCAGCAACTTCAGCTTGTAAATCAAAATACTGTCGCTATTGTTTTGAAGTTTGGCCCAGAAACCAAATTCCTAAAGGGGAAGTCCTGGGCTTTCTTTACAGCAATTCCTATGCCTCAGAAAGTTGTATCAAACCTAAAAATAGCAATGAGCCCGCCATGGTAACGCATGCGCATGCCAGCAATCCCAACTGGAGGGAAGCAGGGGCCTGGAGGATCAGAAGTTCCCGAAATCCTAGGTTAGCTTGGACTACATGAGACCCTGTCTCAAAAAAAAAAAAAAAAAAAAAAAAAAAAATCAAGTTTTGGTGTTTTTGTCTTGTTTTGTTTTGTTTTGTTTTGTTTTAAATGAAGTCCAGTGAGATGGTTCAGCAGATAAAGGCACTTGCTGCCAAGCCTGACCCTAGTTCCAGCTCGGGGACCCACATGATAGAAAAGGACTCCAGCAAACGGTCCTCTGACCTCCATACTGTGGCATCCGTGCCTCCCACAATAAATAAATACATATTAAAAAAAGACTTTTTTAGACAGGGTCTCTATGTAGGTCCTTTTGTAGACCTGGCTGGCCTCGAACTCAAAGATCCTCCTGCCTCTGCCTCCCGAAAGATTTTTTTTTTACATAAAGAATAAGGCCAGTATCTTAGCACTCAGGAGGATCAATCTAAGTTCAAGAACAACCTGGTTTATATAGGGCGTCCCATGCCAGCCAGGACTACATATAGAAAGATCCACCTTTAAAAAAAAATGGAAGCTGGGAGATTAGAAGAGAGGAGAGGTCCAGGATGTCTTCTATATATAACAGGGAAGCTCCACCCATGAAATCCCCATGACCTAAACAAGACCTACAAAACGGCGACACCAATTGACATACCAACATGGATGGGGGAAATATCACAAGGCCTCTCTCCTAAATGAAGAGTTAAGGCAATTAATGGCCGCTGAGAGAGGAAGAACCAGTCTTCTACTGGGAGGAGACAGAAAGGTTATCCAAATAGTCACCACTAAATACACAGAGCAACACTAAATGGACTCAGCGGGCTATATTTATATATGCATATGTGTGCCTACATGTTTAAAAATAATAATTAAAGAAGAAGGGGTCATATTTCAGAGGGAGTGAGAAGCCAAGAGAGGAGTTGGAGGGGGAAGAGGGTGGGGTGTAAATGATGTAAATGCAGTTCTCATGTGTGATATTATATTTGAAAGTGTAAAAATCGGGCATCATGGTGCCTTTAGTCCTAGCACTTGGGGACGGGGGGGGGGGGACGGGGGGGGGGGGACGGGGGGGGGGGGGGGCAGTGACATGTGGATCCATGTGAGTTCAAGGCCAGCCTGGTCTCCAGAGTGAGTTCCAGGACAACCAAGGCTACAGAGAGAAACCCTGTCTCTAAAAAAAAAAACCAAACAAACAAAAATACCCATGTATCTCACAACCATGTATAATGGGATTCAATGCCCTCTTCTGGCCTGCAGGCATTCATGCAGACAGAGCTCTCATATAGATAGATAGATAGATAGATAGATAGATAGATAGATACATACATACATACATACATACATACATAGATACATACATACATACATACATACATACATACATACATAACAAAACCAAAAACGTGAAAACCATAGTGGGGTTATGGCTGGCACAGGTAGTCCTCCTAGCTACTGGGAACACTGAGGCAAGAGTGCAAGACTAGCCTAGGTACCAGGGACAGTGGCGCACGCCTTTAATTTCAGCACTTGAGAAGCAGAGGCAGGCAGATCTCTTGGAGTTCCAGGCCAGCCCTGTGTATATAGTGAGTTCTAGGACAGCCAGAGCTACATAGTGAGACCCTGTCTCAATTAACGAATAAATGATTCGATATTTTCTATATTGCCCAGGTCTCTGTGGGTTTCTATAGCTGTGATAAACACTGTGACCAAAAGCAACTTGGGGAGGAAAGGGTTTCTTTCAGCTTACAGTTCCACAGCACAGTCCATCACCGAGGAACATCAGGGTAGGAACTCAAACAGGGCAGGAGGCAGGAGTTTCTGCAGAGGCCATGGAGAAGTACTGTTTACAGGCTTGAGCTCTCCTGGCTTGCTCAGCCTGCTCTCTTACAGCACCCAGGACCACCCACCCAGGGGTGGCCCCACCCACAGTGAGCTGGCCCCTCCCACATCAATCATCAATCAAGAAAATGCACCATAGGCTTGCACACACTAATCTAGTGGGAGTATTTTCACAACTGAGGTTCTCTCTTCCACCATGACCAAGCTTGTGTCAAGTTGACATAAAACTAGCCCACATACCAGGCTACTCGTGAACTCCTGGTCACAGACGATCCTCCTGCCTCAGCCTTAGCAGGTGGGGACTGGCTATGTCAGCCATGTTAGTTTGCTTGCTTTGTCTTTACATTCTAAAAATAATTTCATACATCAGTCCACAGGCATCTGTACTCATACCCACATATAGACACACACATAATTAAAAATGAGAAGGATAAAGCTTTAAAGAAGAGGTTATCCTAAGATATATGTACAAGTGATGCCACATTGTCATAGGCCTTTACAAGCTGCTTTTGGCAAAGAATAAAAAAATTAAAATAAAATAAATAGCCAGGTGGTGGTGGTAGTGGTAGTGCATGCCTTTAATCCCAGCACTTAGGAGGTAGAGCCAGGCGGATCTCTGTGAGTTCGAGGCCAGCCTGGTTTACAGAGCGAGATCCAGGGCAGGCATCAAACTACATGGAGAAGCCCTGTCTCAAAAAACCAACAAAGAAAGGAAAAAAGAAAGCAAGCAAGCAAGCATTGACTTCTCAGTTTTGTCCAACTAAAAGTATGATGAAAGCCTAGTATCTCTGCCTCTATTCCACGTCTGCTCGACACTGCAGAGGCACACTAATCACTAAGGGTTGTCTGCCGACCTATCTCACCCTCCCTCAAGGCTGAAGACACAAAAATAAGTCACTTTCCTAAATGGCAGTCAGCTTGGGTTGCAGAACTGAGCTCCCGGTGACAGCACCTCCCCCTGTACCCACCCAACCCACTCTAAAACATCAAAGTACTCCAGGATGGGGAGGCTACACCCGGAAGCAGGTCTTCTTGTTGGTCCCCACTGGTGACGGCCGTTGTAACATCCTCTTAAGACCCCCTAACAGAACCTGAACGGAGACAATGCTCAAGCCACATACCGAGCGGGACTAATTAACTAGGCAGGGCTTTTGCCTGATGCTCCAGTTATTCTATCTGAAGCTCATATAAGGGCTACAGAGATGGCTCAGCAGTTTAGAGTGCTTGGCTTGCGGAGGACCTGGGTTCGATTCCCAGCACCCACACAGCGGCTCATGGCTACCCCTGACTGCAGTTCCAGGGGATTCGGTGCCTCTTCTGACCCCACAGGCACCAGGTACTCATATGCTTTACATATATCTATGTAGACAAAATATTCAGACACACAAAAATAAATCTAAATTTTTCTTTTGTTTTTTTTCAAGACAGGGTTTCCTTGTGTAGCTCTGGCTGTCCTGGAATTCTGTAAATCAGGCTGGTCTCAAATTCAAAGGTCTGCCTGTCTCTGCCTCCCCAGTGCTGGAGTTAAAGGTGTGCACCACCGTTGCCCAGCCAAAAAGAAATTTTTTTTTTAAAGCTCATATTAAGTATTATGAAGACTGGCTTGGGGTCACTGAAGCGCTTCACAATGTGGTCACATGGAGTTAATTTCCTCTCAGCCTCTCACCATTATTCTTCTCTTTAATAAGCATATTGGGACAGGTGGCAGAGCACAGCCAGCCTATTGGGGCTGCTAGAGCCTTGCTCTTGCGCTAAGTGCCAGTGACAGCATCCTTTATACCACAGAGCTCTAGAAACAATGCCATGTCTAGAGGTGGGAACATCTTTAACATGTTATAGTTAATTACACAATGGAACGCTGCATTTTTTTTATTTTATAATTAACTTGATTTCACATATCAGCCACAGATTCCCCTGTCCTCCCTCCTCCCACCCCTCAGCCCTCCCCCCAACCCACCCCCCCATTCCCACCTCCTCCAGGGCAAGGTCTCCCCTGGGGAGTCAGCCCAGCCTGGTAGACTCAGCTGAGGCAGGTCCAGTCCCCTCCTCCCTACACCAAGGCTGAGCAAAGTGTCCCCAGCATAGGCCCCAGGCTCCAAAAAGCCAGCTCATGCACCAAGGACAGGTCCCAGCTCCACTGCCTGGGGGCCTCCCAAACAGTTCAAGCTCATCAACTGTGTCACTTATCCAGAGGGCCTGGTCCAGTTCCATGTGGGTTCCTCAGCCATTAGTTCACAGTTCACCGCGTTTCCACTAGTTTGGCTATTTGTCCCCTGTGCTTTTTCCAATCAT